CTACTACTACTACTACCACTACTACTACTACTACTACTACTACGACTACTACTACTACTACTACTACTACTACTACTACTACTACTACTACTACTACTACTACTACTACTACTACTACTACTACTACTACTACTACTACTACTACTACTACTACTACTACTACTACTACTACTACTACTACTACTACTACTACTACTACTACTACTACTACTACTACTACTACTACTACTACATACTACTACTACTACTACTACTACTACTACTACTACTACTACTACTACTACTACTACTACTACTACTACTACTACGACTACTACTACTACTACTACTACTACTACTACTACTACTACTTTAAGCCCACCGTAGAACTAACACCCGAGTACGATTCAATTTACTACTCCTTTACTACACTACTATGAATACTACTGCTTTACTACTAAACTACTACTACTACTACCATTACAAATACTATACTACACTACTACCACACTACTACTTACTACTACTACTACTACGACCTACTCCTACTACTACATTACGATACTTACGGTACTACTACTACTACTACTGCTACTACTCCTACTTATTACGCTTGTAAACTTATTACTTACTTCCTGCTACTACTACTAAATCCAAACTGTATGCGACGGACTTGACTGGGACGACGGAGTACGATTAAGACTACGACCTACTACTACTACTACTACTACTACTACTACTACGACTACTACTACTACTACTACTACTACTACTACGACTACGACTACGACTACGACTACGACTACTACGACTACAACTACAACTACTACTACTACTACTACTACTACTACTAATACTACTACTACTACTACTACTACAACTACTACTACTACTACTACTACTACTACTACTATTTCTACTAATACTGATATTACAAATACTACTACTACTGTTGATACTACTACTACTACTACTACTACTACTACTACTACTACTACTACTACTACGACCGCTACTACTACGTCTAAAACCACGACTACGACTACTATCACTACTGCAACTACAACTACTACTACTACTACTACTACTACTACTACTACTAGGACTACTCCGACTACTACAACTACTACGACTACTACTTCTACTGCGACGACGACAACTACTACGAGTACTGTACTACCGCTACTACTACTACTACTACTACTACTACTACTACTACTACGACTACTACTAGTACGACTACTGCTACGATTACTACTACTACTACTACCGCTACTACTACTTCTAAAACAACGACTACGACTACTACCACTACGACTACGACCACTACTACAACAACTACTACTACTACTACTATGATTACTGCGAATACTACTACTACTACTACTACGACGACTACTACTTCTACTACAACGACGACTACTACGGCTACTACTGCTACTAGTACCACCGCTAGTATCACTACTACTACTACTATTACGACTACTACTACTACTACTACTACTACTACTACTATTACGACTATACTGCTACTACTACTACTACTACAACTGCTGTTGCCACTAGTACTAACTACTACTACTACTACTACTACTACTACTACTACTACTACTACTACTATTACTACGACTACTACTACTACTACTACTACTACTACTACTACTAGTACTACGACTACTACTACTACGCCTGCTACTACGACTTCAACTACGACTAAGACTACGACTACGACTACCACTACTACTACTAGTACCACGACTACCACTACTACTACTACTACTACGACTACGACTACGACTACTACTAGTTCTACTTCTACTACTACGACTACGACTACGACTACTACTACTACTACTACTACTACTACTCTACAACTACTGTACTAATACTACTACTACTACTACTACTACTACTACTTGACTTACTACTACTATTAATATTACGATTCCTTACTACTACTACTACTACTACTACTACTACAATACTAACTTACTACTATATACTACATAGACTACTACTACTACTTACTGCTACTGCTACGGCTACTGCTACTGTAACTCCTACTACTACTACTACGACTACACTACTACTACTACTACTACTATAAACTACTACTACTGCTACTACTACTACTACAACTACTACTACTACTACTACTACTACTACTACTACTACTACTACTACTACTACTACTACTACTACTACTACTAATAATAATAATACTAGAACAACGCGAACCGAACACTGAGACATAATGGTGGTACGAGTCGCGGTCGTAAAAAGTCTTCCAACCATACGAAGAAGAACCGCGATAACAATAACCGGCACACGCACAACAACATCCAGAGGTCTACGGAGACCTCTTGGACAGGAACTGGGCCCTCCCTGGCGGCGCCTCTGGCGCCGACCCCTGCGCGCTCCGCACGACAGGGATCGGGAGCCCCCAAAACAGTGCGGTGGCCACACCGTGTGATGTCCGTTTTCTTATTCGCTGTTTTGCCGATCGGCGTGGGCCCTCGCATCCTCCCACCCCCCCCTGGAGTAGATCTTGTCTGTTTTTTGGGGCGCCTGTTTCAAGCAGGTCGAGTCTCCCCCAAAGAACGCACTGCTCCAAACAGTCGCACTAAGCAGGGGTCCTGAGCCAGATCCCCCCCCCCCCCCCCCCCCCCCCCCCCCCCTCCGCACAATGTCAGAATGCCGAATAAGTCCACGTTCACGTGGTGAGCTGGTGAGGATGCGGGGTGGCCCAACGGTTTCGGGACCTCGGGCCTTTCTCCCAGGACGCGTGGAGCGACACGGAGCTCCGAGGCCTCTCCGAAAACCTCGCGGGGACGGACCGTGCGGTGAAACCGTCGGGGCTTCCGAGGTCCCTGCACGGTGCGGCACCGCACCGCTTCGAGTCCCCCAGCAGGGCAGAAAGGGGGGGTCCAACGGCGAGTCAGGAAATCGGCACGGGTCTCCGAGGGCATACGCTGGTGCCGTAGTAGTAGTAGCAGTAGTAGTAGAAGAAGAAAAAGAAGAAGCAATAGTAGTAGTAGTAGTAGTAGTAGTAGTCGTAGTAGTAGTAGTAGTAGTAGTAGTAGTAGTAGTAGTAGTAGTAGTAGTCGTAGTCGTAGCAGTAGTCGTAGTAGTATGGTAGTAGTAGTGGTAGTAGTAGTAGTAGTAGTAGGTTAGTAGTAGTAGTAGTAGTAGTCGTAGTAGTAGTCGTAGTAGTGTAGTAGTAGTAGTAGTAGTAGTAGTAGTAGAAGTAGTAGTAGTAGTACGAGTAGTAGTAGTAGTCGTAGAGGTAGTAGTAGTAGTAGTAGGAGTAGTAGTAGGAGTAGTAGTAGTAGTAGTAGTCGTAGTAGTAGTAGTAGTCGTAGTAGTAGTAATAGTAGTAGTAGTAGTAAAAGTGATAGTAGTACTAAAAGTAATAGTAGTCGTCGCCGTAGTAGTAGTAGTAGTAGTAGTAGTCGTTGTAGTAGCAGTAGTAGTAGTAGTAGTAGTAGTAGTAGTAGTACTAGTCGTAGTCGTGGTAGTAGTAGTAGTAAAAGAAAAAAGTAGTAGTAGAAGTAGTAGTAGTAGTAGTGGTAGTAGTAGTAGTAGTAAACGTAGTAGTAGTAGTAGTAGTAGTAGTAGTGGTAGTAGTAGTAGTAGTAGTGGTAGTAGTAGTAATAGTAGTAGTAGTAGCCATCGTCGTCGTAGTGGTCGTAGTAGCAGTAGTCGTTGTAGTACCAGTAGCAGTAGTACGAGTAGTAGTCATAGTTGTAGTAGTAGTAGTAGTAGTAGTGGTGGTGGTAGTAGTAGTAGTAGTAGTAGTAGTAGTGGTAGTAGAAGTATTACTAGTCGTGATAGTAGCCGTCGCCGTCGTAGTAGTTGTAGTAGTAGAAGTTGTAGTAGTCGTCGTAGTAGTAGTAGTAGTAGTAGTAGTACGGATAGCAGTGGTCGTAGTAGTAGTAGTAGTAGTCGTAGTAGTAGTAGTAATAGTAGTTGTAGAAATAGTGGTACGAGTAGTAATAGTAGTCGTCGTCGTCGTCGTAATACATCGGCGTTACAAAAGTTTCGTCATAAAATAAAAGTCGATCATCTTGCATAAGCAAAGACAAATCCCGCCCCGGTGGGAATTCTAGAGCCGCGTGAATTTACGTCGGGATTTCAAAATGTCCCGTCTTAAATCTATACTATTATAGTAAGGGATGAAATCCCACTTTTAGAAATCCCGGATCGTTGATCCGACCGCTCTTGACTCAGTCCGCTAGGATTCTAGGGGGGAAGAGGGGGGGCCAGCTCGGCGCGGCCAGGGCAGTGGTCAGCCTCTGCCCGCTTGCTCACGCGGAAAGAAGACACGAAACCCATGCCACCTTCAAACTCTCATGAAACGTGACGAACTTTTGTAACGGCGTAGTAGTAGTAGTAGCCGTTGTAGCAGCAGTCGTAGTAGTAGTAGTAGTCGTAGTCGTGGTAGTAGTAGTCGTAGTAGTAATAAGAAAAAGTAGTAGTAGTGGTGGTAGTAGTAGTAGTACTAGTAGTTATAGTAGTAGTAGTAGTAGTAGAAGCAGTAGTAGTAGTAGTAGTAGTAGTAGTAATCGTCATCGTCGTCGTAGTGGTCGTATTAGTAGTAGCCGTTGTAGTAGCAGTAGAAGTAGTAGTAGTGGTATTCGTGGTAGTAGTAGTAGTAGTAGTGGTAGTAGAAGTATTACTACTCGTAGTAGTAGTCGTCGTCGTAGTCGTAGTAGTAGCAGTATTATTAGTAGTAGTAGTAGTAGGAGTAGTAGTAGTAGTAGTGATAGTAGTGGTAGTCGTAGTAGTAGTGATACCAGTGGTCGTAGTAGTAGTAGTCGTCGCCGTCGTCGTAGTAGCAGTAGTAGCAGCAGGAGTAGTAGTAGTAGTAGTAGTAGTAGTAGTAGTAACCGTAGTAGTAGTCGTAGTAGTAGTAACCGTAGTAGTAGTCGTAGTAGTAGTAGTAGTATCAGTAAGGGCAACAGTAACAGTAGCAGTAACAGTAATAGTAGCAACAATAGTCCTAGCAGTAATAGGCGTTTGCGTAGTGGTCGTAGTATGGTAGGAGTAGTAGTAACAGAAGTAGCAGTAGTAGTAGTAGTAGTAGTAGTAGTCATACTAGTAGTAGTAGTAGTAGTACTAGTAGTAGTAGTAGTAGTAGTAGTAGTAGTAGTCACATTACTAATAGTTGTAGTAGTCATAATACTACACGCTTAGTAGTAGTAGTAGTAGTCGTCGTCGTCGTCGTCGTCGTCGTCGTCGTCGTCGTCGTCGTCGTCGTCGTCGTCGTCCGTTCGGTCCTCGTGTTAGTAGTAACCCCTCCCCAAAAAAAAAAAAAAAAAAAAAAAACTAGTAGTAGAGTAAATAGTAGTAGTAGCCGTAGTAATAATAATAGTAGTAGTAATCGTAGTAGTAGCAGTCGTAGTAGTCGTCATAGTAGTAGTAATAGAGTAGTCGTATAGTAGTACAGTAGTAGTAGTAGTAGTAGTAGTAGTAGTAGTAGTAGTAGTAGTAGTAGTAGAAGTAGTAGTAGTAGGTGTGCTCTGAATACCAGCACTATTAATATGCCTCCTCGCCTTCGTATGATTCGCAGTTTTGTTAGTGTTCCATCTGCTCGAATTACTATTACTGTTCGTGTGGGTACTAGTATTGTTTGCTTGAGTGCTGTTAGTATTCGTCGTCGTCTCATTATTTATACTATTATTCGGGCCTCCCGCAGGTGCTCCAGGTCGACCTCGCGGTGCTTCAACATCTGGTCCTGCTCCTCCAGGCTCTGCCTCAAGTCCGTGAGGTCCGTCTGGAGCTTCTGGTTCTCGGCCAACAGCTGCTGCTTCTCCCTGATCATCTGGTCCAGCTTCTGCTGGTGGTACTCCAGGTCCAGCTGCAGGTGCCGGATGTCGCTCACGAGGTCCTGGGGGCCGCCCACATGGGGCCGAAAAGGACCGCCGCCGCATCGCCCGTGCATCGACGACGCCGTCGGCGGGTGGGCCAGCACAGCACGTCGACTGGGAATGATGGTGCCTCAACTGACACTTACCAGACCATCCCAACCCAACCCAAAGACCCGGATTTCGGGTAGGGGGGGGGGTACGGGATTCATATGTTTTTGTCAGTGCTCCCCGACCCCCCCACACTGGAAACGAAGGGAATATTGGTGGGCAGTGATCAACCAGCGCCGCACAGCCCTGCGTACCCCACCGGGACATTCCTCCCAGGCCAGCACCCAGGGCGGCCGGCACGGAGCACATCGGGGGCCCCGCATCTGGACCCCTCGCCAACACGTACGGCGGCGGCGCGGGCGCGACCTCCCCAAACGTCCGACGTCGTTTGCCTTCTTCCGTGTGGGGTCCCCGGAAACCTCGACCCCGCTCCCGGGGGCCGCCTTTTCATCCTGACCGGGGGTCGCACAAGGTCGGGTTGGGGCAGAGGTAGGCTTGAAAGAAAAAATCGCTCCAAACGGCCCCCCGAAGAAGGAAACGCGTTATAGGGGAGCATCCAGCTGGGCCCGTTTCCCAGCCCCACCTTAGGCTGACCCTCCCTCCAGGACCCCCGGACTTTTTCACCCTGAGCCGTGTTCTGACGGTCCCGGGGCCGGGGGAGGGCCCTGAGAGCGTGGAAGCAAAAAGTCGCCCCCTCCACCGCTGCTGCCATGACCCCTCTCGCCCAGGGGGGGGCGCGTCCTGACCAGAACCTCACGGCGGATCCAGCGGTCGCGACTGGCCCCCCTCACGGGTCTGGAAGCCCCCAAGAGCATTGAAGGTCGCCCCAAGAGGCTTCCGAGAGTCCCCCAAGAGCTCCGGGGAAGCCCTCGAGAGGTTAAAACCATTGAAAAACTCAGAGGATATCAATGATTTTCTGTTTTCCCGCGAGACGAGGACGAGCAGCGGTATCAGTACAGTCAGCCCGTATCAGAAAGGTGCGCGGTAAGCATGCACGGGCCTCGGAGGCCCGTGCGAGCGTTTCTCGAGCGGGGCTGGCCAGCGAGGGTCGCCAAGGATGGGCTGGAAGGGGCAAGGATGCAGGTGCACCCTGGGAAAGGTTGCCCATCCTTACGATGCGAGCCGACCGTGGTTGTTCCTCCCCCGAGAAGAAGAATAAGAAGAAGAAGAAGAAGAATAAGAAGAAAAAGAAGAAGAAGACGCCGTGCACGTCAGAGGTGCACGGGCAAAAAAACTGGCGCCGACGCGACGGCAGCCGAACGCCGTGAAACGCTTCGAACACCCCATCGTCGCCATCACTGTGGACAGGGCGTGTCTGAAAACTTGCACGTGCACATCCCCCTCGCCATGAGCCCCCCCAAGGTGGGACGACCCGGGACAACAACGGCAGCAGAAAGCCGAACATCGTGGAGGAGCCCTCCCGTGGTGAGATGTTTGTCCGCGGCGCGAAGGGAGGGCAGGGTCGCCGAGGCGTCTCGGCGGTGCGGCGCGCGAGCAGCCCTCGGCCCCGCCTGCTCTGCTCAGGGGCCCGTCTCTTTCGGCGGGGGTGGCGCCGCCAGGGCGCACCCACGTCCACTGCAGAGGCCTCCCAGATGGGGTCGGAGTAGATTTAGGTTGGGCATGTCTTCCTACAGGCGGATTTGGGAGGAAAACTTTAAAAGAGCCAAACAATACTCCAAAATGGTAAAAACAAAAAAAAAATCCTGGTGAAGGTCGCAACCATATGCAGTTGTGGGTACCGTAATTGTGAATATCTGCTTCAGTGAAGCTCCCCATGGGGCCACGAAGCGCTGCACTGGGCGGGGGGGAACGCTGTACTGTGTGGGTGGTGTGCCGACTTGGGTTTCCGGGACGCATGCGGACGGTCCCACTGAGGGCTTCGGTGGAGCTCCCTATGGGGCCACGAAGCGCTCTACTGAGTGAATGAAAATGCCAAATTGAGTTACCGGGTCGCATGCGGACGGTCCCACTGGGGGCTTGGGTGGAGCCCCCTATGGGGCCACGAAACGCTGCACTGCGCGGGTGAAGATGCCAAATTACATTTCCCGGACGCATTCGGACGGTGGCACTGGGGCTTTGGGTGGAGCCCCCTATGGGGCCACGAAACGCTGCACTGGGTAGGTGAAAATGCCAAATTGCGCTTCCGGGACGCATGCGGACGGGGGCACTGGGGCCTTCGGTGGAGCTCCCAATGCGACCACGAAGCGCTGTACTGGGTGGGTGAAGCGCAGGGAGGAGGGGGAGGAGGGCCACGAAACGCTGTACTGGGTGTGCGGGACGCATGCGGACGGTAGCGCTGGGACCTTCGGTGGGGCTCCCTATGGGGCCACGAAACGCTGTACTGGGTGTGCGGGACGCATGCGGACGGTAGCGCTGGGACCTTCGGTGGGGCTTCCTATGGGCCACGAAACGCTGTACTGGGTGGGTGAAACGCAGGGAGGAGGTGGAGGAGGGCCACGAAACGCTGTACCGGGTGTGCGGGACGCATGCGGACGGCAGCACTGGGACCTTCGGTGGAGCTCCCTATGGGGCCACGAAGCGCTGTACTGGTTGTGCGGACGCATGCGGACGGTAGCCACTTGGGCCTTCGGTGGGGCTCCCTATGGGCCACGAAACGCTGTACCGGGTGCTTTGTGCGGGGACGCAAGCTCTCGAACATTAGGCACTGGGACCTTCGGTGGGGCTCCCAATGCCGGCCACGAAACGCGTACTGGGTGGGCGAAGCGCAAGGAGGAGGTGGAGTAGGGCCACGAAACGCTGTACTGGGTGTGCGGGACGCATGCGGACGGTAGCACTGGGACCTTCAGTGGAGCTCCCTATGTGGCCACGAAACGCTGTACTGGGTGTGCGGGACGCATGCGGACGGTAGCACTGGGACCTTCGGTGGGGCTCCCCATGGGGCCACGAAACGCTGTACTGGGTGTGCGGGACGCATGCGGACGGTAGGGAGGAGGGGGGGGCGCAGGGAGAAAGGGAAGGAGGGAGGAGGAGGGAGGAGTGGGGGGAGGAGGGGGAGGAGGAGGAAGAGGAGAACGCGGGGACCGTTATTTCAAAACGAAGACCCAACACCACAGGATGGTTGCGAAATAACAGAAAAAATCGTCCCCTGACGATCTGTTTGACAATTTTCGAATATTCATCTTGTAGGGGAGCGTGCCCTACCTAAGAGTAGATGGGGTGGGAGGATCACGCCGCATCGGCGATGCATCGGCGATGCATCGGTGGTGCACCAGCGATGCGTCGTCGACGTCGGCGAGGCATCGGCGACGTCGGCGTGAAGCAAATCGGGCCCCACATCGAGCCGCATCGGCGATGCATCGGCGATGCGGCACGACCCTCCGACCCATCTAATCGGACCCCACCTAGGAGGCCTAGACACTGCCGCCGCGTGGTCTAACAACCTCCCAAACCACCCCAACCCAAGCCGAAGCCACTGCTGGCATTTCCGGTGGGGGGCACTCTAGAACATGGAGGAAACACGATGGAACCCGCACACCCGCCAACCCAAACTTTGGGAGTATCTGGGACCTTCGGGTTGGGTTGGGGTGTCTTGGTAAGTAGTGAGGGTCGTGTCCCAGGGAAACTGAAAGCGGTGGATCTGAGTATGGTGGGGGCCTTCGATGAGGAATGTACCCAGGAGGCTTCAGGCTCTGGAGGAGTCCTGGTCTGACGAGGGCGGCGGTGGTATCCATGGCCAAGCCTCCATTGGAGCCCAACCGGGTTTGGTGACCCTGGATTCCTCATCCAATGGTTCCCTATCCGATGCACGCACCGTGCCTCTCTGCCCGCCCATGCGGGCGGTCAGACATCGACGCCCACCGCTCCTCGAGATCCCCGGGGCACGACTCCAAATCGGTGGATGCGGCCCTGGCGGGCCACGCCTCGGGCCTCCGACGGTCCCGGGGAAACGGCTCTGGACGTCCGGGCCCCGACTCCGATGGCCCTCGGGTCACAGCTCGGGCCTCCTGCGGCCGTTCGGGACGATCCGAGCACCACGGAGCGCTCTCGGCATGGCGCACCTGCCGGAAAGCAGGGCGGGGCCGGGGACACACCCCTGGAAGCTGTCGGAAACACGCCGAAACCTCGAACATCGGAGTCAGCGCGACTTCCCTGCTTCGGGCCCCCCAAACGGTGCGGTGACGGACCGTGCGGTGGCCACGAAACCCCAAGAGACCTCAGCGCACGATCCGTCACCGCACGGTTTGGGGACCTCAGAGGCCCCAGTCGCCCGAGAAGTCCTCGGAGGACGGCTCGAGTCCAAAAAACCGTGCGGTGGCCCCCGAATCCCCACGGACGCACCACACAATGTGGTCACCACACCGCTTAGGGCCCCCCCCTACATGCTCGGGCCCCGCTTCAAAGGAACAAGAAACGACATGAACGTTCGAGAGTCCGCGAGGATGCCGTTGGTCTGCGCTGGACCCCCATCCCTGGCGCGCGGAGCGGCTGCGGAAGCGCGGCCGGGAAGATCCGAGAAATCCGCGCGGACTTCCGAAAGTTCATGTGGGTGTCTTTATGTGATCGATCCGATGTCTTGACTTCTTCTGAAAATGATAAGAATAAACAAAACAAAACGCGACTGAAACCCCAGACCCAATCTTTCTGCATCATCTTTCGAGCCGAATCGACCCTTGAGGGCCCAAAATTTGGCGAATACGCCCGTTGTGGAAAAAGAATACAGAGCCAGGATCTCAGGCTCTTGATTTTTCCATGCGATGAATCTCTGGGGCCGGCCCAGTCCCTTGGGTACGGAAGATGTGGGCACGATGCCCAACAACAGACGTTGTCCAAAACCGACAGCGGCCGCTGTTGGGCAGGCGGCCTTCTGCCTCCAATGGGCAACGCGCGCGGCGGCACGGACAGCGAGCCCTGTGCGAAATGAACCGGAACTGCTGTCAGTCTTCGTGCGCAGCCTTTCCGTACCCGTTTCGATCGTACCGCTGGATCTCTGGGGCCCGGCTGGCAACAAGCCGGAGGAGGAGGAGGAGGCAGAGGAGGAGGAGGAGGAGGAGGAGGAGGAGGAGGAGGAAAAAGGAGCCTCCGCAGGAGGAGGAGGAGGAGGAGGAGGAGGAGGAGGACGAGGAGGACGAGGAAGCGGCGGTGTGTCGTTCATCGTCCGTCGTCGTCGGCGGCGGCGACGTCGTCGCCTTCGTCGGCGGCGGCGGCGTCTTGGGCGGCGCGGAGGTCCGCGATCTGCTGGCTGTGCTTCTGGCCCTCGGCGGCCCGGGCCTCGGCGGCCTGCGCGCCCCCGTCCGCGGGGGCGGCGCCGCCGCCAGCAGCGGCGGCGCTGCCGCGGAGGTGCTGCGCCTGCGCGCCCGCGGCCGCTCGGGTGGGCCACGAGGTCATCGTCGTCGTCGTCGTCGTCGTCGCCGTCATCGTCGTCGTCGTCGTCGAATGGGACGCACAAAGCCATACTAGTACTATATGTCCGCCCGTCCGGCCCGAGCATACAGTATACACATCTTGTAGTGTATCGTTTCCCGAGCGGTATGGCCAGAAAGCGCCCGCCACGGAGCTTCTACTATAAGATTTCTCGGTGCGCGCGTCGCCCCTGGCGGGGCGACGCTCACATAGTATTAGTATGTTGGGGTGACGCCAACCGAGGTGCCAGACATCGGCGGCGAGCTCGGGGGGGAAGTGAGAAGGGGCGGGCCTTCTCTCAAGGCTCGGAAGTCACGTAGGGCTTCTGGGGTGTCGACGCCAGCAAGTGGAGCGCCCAACGCGGAGACAAACTCGCGCACGCGCTCCATTATGCGACGCTGTACCAACGACAAAGGCCCAGAGGCAACCTGGCCCCCGTCGCCCAGCACGGTGTCGGGGGGGCTGCGCAACGCATTCAGGGCAGCCTCCGCCCGACGGACATCCAGGCCCCGAGCACGACCACGCAGCATGCGACGCTGGCACCCGCGAGACAACACTCGGCTGCGAGCGGCGGCAGAGGCAGAGGAAGAGGGCTGCGAGCGACGCCACGAGAAGGCCCATCACGCCCGAGAGGAGACCGATGGAATTCGCCGCGCAAAAGCGCCCCCCGCCCGTCGAGCGGGCGGGAGCCACGGACGGGACAGGTTCCTTGCCAGGGCGGCTTCTCACACCACTGCCTTCCGAATGTGATCCAGCAAGCCGGGGCAGACCATCAAGCTTGAGCGCAAGCGCGTGGACCCCGACGAATACGTCTGCTCCTCGATCGAGAACCTCCCGCTCTGGTTGGCCCCCTCCCTCTCGCGCGCCTCCTCGAGGTATGAGTACTCCATCGTTGGCATCCTGCTGAAGATGCCCTCGCACGCCTGCAGGTCAGAGCCATCGAGCTGGTCCGACAGCCGCAGCAGGCGAATGAACTGAAGGTGCTGAAGCTGCTCCTGCACGCCCCACGGTGTAGGCTCGAGCTTGGCACCAGCACGGAATCGATCATGGACACCGTCGTTCCCCATCCAATCATAGCTGATGAAATCGATGCACCAGAACGCCGTACGAGGCCATGTCATCAGCCAGTCGAGGCCGAAGTCCTCATCGCGCACACGCGCAGCCATCGTAGACCAGGTCCCCTCGCGTCGACCTCCAGCCCGCATGATTGGCAACACGCGGGCGCCGGGCGGCCACCGCACGGCCCATGAATTCTTCCAGCTCGGCGGGCGCCACCTCCTCCACGAGCAGCGCGATGCCATCCGCCCAACTGGGAAGGTCACACCCGAGCACCGCCGCAGCCGACGGCGCATGCCTGTTGCCCACGTCGCCGTGCTGGAACTCGCCGATCGACTGACCAGCCCGCCAGCGAGCACCGACGTCGGCCACCACCTGCGCCGCCGCCGCACCCTACAGTGCAGCACGCCTGGCAGGGGCCCTGCCGGCGGCACCGTCACCACAGCTCCGCCAGCCACCACCACGGGAGCCCCGTGGCCACCAGCAGCCAGCGCCACGAAGCCCGCCACCGTCGACCGGTCGGGCCGCCCCAGCTGCACGGCGATCTGCTGCCATCGCTGGAGGGCCAGGAGCTCGCGTCGCACAAGTAGACCTGTTCCTCCGCCGCGTTCGGCTCCTGGAAGAGGCTATCCCCGTCGGCAGTTTTCACCCGTCGCGGCACGACGTCCCTACCGACACGCCAGCCGACCAGGTCCACGTCCTCGATCTCCGTCTCGTCGCACTTCTCGATGTAGGTGTCACCGTCGGGCGCCGCGCCTAAGGACTCAGAAGCCGATAGCGCCACGCGGACGGAAGCCCACGGCTGATACACTGGGTGGTACCCGACGTACATCAGCCACTCCCACTGCGCAGCTCACTGCCTTGGACACCACGAGGGCGCCGACGCCGCCAGCCACAGCCCCGAGCACGAGCCCACGCAAGAAGGCGCCCCACGTGTCGCACTCGCCGCTTTCGCCAGCGCCCTCGCAGGCAGGGCAGGCGCCGCAGGCGGTGCCTGCCAGCGGCGCGGGCTCCCGCGCGGGCCGGCGGCTCTCCACCGCGGCCGCCGAGCACGCCAGCGATGTGCACAGGGGACAGGTCACGCTCGCTGGCGCTGGGCACGAGAAGCTCGGGTACACCGCGCACGCGAGCGAGCACCTGGGGCACTCAGGCGCGCGCGCGGGCAGCGGCACCCAGCACCCACCAGGGCCACATCCGACGGGGCCGCGGACCGCTCCCCCCGGTACCGCCTTGAGCCCCAACGGTTGAGGCGGCCTTACCCAGTCCTGCTCCGCAAAACACGTTGGGATAACTGCAATGATGTGCCGTGCCGAAGGCTGTGCTGTGCTGCACCGTGCTGAATTGCGATGTGCCATGCCGCGAGTCGAGTCCTCCTTTGCATCCGAGTCCTGACCGAACTGATCTGGATCATAAGGTCGAGCTGCCCGGACACATAGTAGCTGCCCCAGAGCTAATTGACAGGGGAGCATGCCAGGAGGACGCGCTGCGGAACGTCTCAAGGGACGCGCCAGGCGACGTGGCAGGGGACGTACCATTGGGACGCACCGCGGGACGTGCAAAGGGGGCGCGCTACTGAACGTGCTGGGGACAAGCGTTTCGCTCGAGACATCATGCCCAAATCCTCATGCTAGACATCCGCCTGGGCGACCTGGACACGTGAAAATCCTCAACACATCCTCATGTTGGACATCCGCCTCGACGGCCTGGACACGTGGAAACAAGCGTCTCGATCGAGACATCCTCAACACATCCTCATGCTAGACATCTGCCTCGACGACCTGGACGCGTGGAAACAAGAGTCTCGCTCGAGACATCCTCAACACATCCTCATGCTAGACATCTGTCTGGACGACCTGGACGTGTGAAAACAAGCGTCTCGCTCGAGACGTCCTGAACACATCCTGATGCTAGACATCTGCCTGGGCAACCTGGAGGCGTGAAACCAAGCGTCTCGCTCGAGACATCCTCAAGACCTGGGCACGTGGTAACCAGCATCTTAACCCGAGCGCGAAAATATAGAGCGAGTTTACACTCGAGCGAGTTCGCACCTGCATGAATCGAGCGAAATCAAACAAGCGGAACAAAAACGAACGACATTAAACGAGCGAAAAGCAACGAACGACTTCAAACCCGAGAAAATCTAAATCGAGCGAGTTCTCGCCCGAGCGAATTTACACCCGCATGACTTCAAACCGACCTTCTTGTGCACGAGCGGAAAAAAACTAGCGAAATAACATAACAGCGACACAGAGGTGCTTCCAGGCGGCGACCGGACATCGACCGAGCAAGCTCCATCCGAGCGAAATTTAACCCGAGCGAATTTACATTCCGAGCGAATTCGTTCGACTCTCCGAACGACTTGTGGACTTGTGGTCTGTCTGACCGTGGACGGTGTTCCTGGCGGCAACCGGGAATCGACCGAGCGAACAAAACAACGAGCGAAATTAAACCCGAGCGAAATTAAACGAGCAAAATAAATCGAGCGAAATTAAACGAGCGAAGAGAAACGAGCGAATTTAAACCGAGCGAAATGAAACCCGAGCGAATCTAAACCCGAGCGAATTTAAACCGAGCAAAAATAAACCCAAGCGAATTCAAATCGAGTAAACTCAAACGAGCAAAAATGAAGCGAGCGAAACTAAATCCGAGCGAAAGAAACGCGAATCGCCAACCCCCAGGTTACTTCCCTACTCGAAGAGCCCCAGCTGGCTCCAAGAAGCCCTCCGAGCTGCTTAGAAGCCCTCCAAGCTTCATAGAGAAGCCCTCCGAGCTGAGAAGCCACCCGGCCTACGGCAGGTCCGTGTCGTGCCGACCCCAGCGTTGGTTTTTGACACCGCAGGGATCGTTCAACCTTGAACGATCGGTCGTTCCCGCACCGTCCGATCGTTCAACGTCGACCGATTCTGGGTCGCTGGCGGCGTTCAACTTTGAACGCCGGCGGCGGGGTCGCCGCAGGTCGACACGACGTGGACCCACCGTACGCCCCCCTCCCCCCGTGGGGGAGCCTGCTGCGAGGGGGGCCCACTTCTTCAGCGATACAGTCGGCCCGTATCATAAGTAGGGGAAATCCGCGCGGACCTCTGAGTTTTTCATGTTTATGTCACGTTTTGTTCCCCTAATAAGGGTGCGCGATGAGAACGCAAGGGCATTGGAGGCCCATGTGAACGTTTTGCCAGCGAGGTTGGCCAGCGAAAGTCGCCAAGGATGGGCCGAAGGGGCAAAGATGCAAGGGTACTCTTGGGAAGGCCCCGTTCACCCCGGGGGGCATAAGGAGTTCCGTCCCGGATCCGTTTGTGCTGGTCCCCGGGCCCAAACCAGGAGGCCGAAACGCACGAAAAAACACGTCGCGAGCGTCAAAATCCTATCGTCGGAAACCCGTTGCCCTCTGCGACCTCTCGTGGGGGTTCGCCAAAGCCGATGGGCCCCCAGGCATCCTCCGATAGGACTGCTTCCATCCGCGGCCCCCAGGGCTCCTGACCCCTTCACCCTGGGGGGGGTAACTAGGGTTCCATCCCAGATCCGTTTTCGATGGTCCCCGGGCCCACACCAGGAGGCCGGAACGCGGGGAAAAAAAAGAAGCCGCGAGTGCCAAAATCCTGTCGTCGGAGATCCGGGGCCCTCGCGACCCTGCGGGCGGCCTGGCCCCACCCGAGGGCAACGCCCCATAGGCGGCCCTGGGCCGGCCCGTGGTGCACGGCCGGGGGGCTCTCCCCGCCCGGCGGTCCCCGGACACCCGCGCCCGGGGTGAGGCCCAGGGCCACCGTCGGTGGCAACTGCCGGGAGCCTCCTCCCCCTCCTCCTCCCCCTCCTCCTCCTCCTCCTCCTCCTCCTCCTCCTCCTCCTCCTCCTCCTCCCTCCTCCTCCTCCTCCTCCTCCTCCTCCTCCTCCTCCTCCTCCTCCTCCTCCTCCTCCCTCCTCTTCGGGCCATCTTGTCGGCTCTTGCGAATCGACGCTAATCGAGGCGAAATCGACGCCAGTGGGCGCTCGATCGGCGCCAGATCGACGCTGGCCGACGCCAAATCAGCGCGATGTCATCGACAATAGACGCTAGGAGTGAAGAAGGGTACAGCAGGCTCCCACGATTTGCCACCGGAGAACACCGCTCGGGGGAAGAAGCGCGATGACCGTGACCAAGATGTCGCGGCATCTCGCCAGCGCCGATCTCGGTCATGGTCCAGGCTGGCCGTCCTCTCCGACTCGCGAGAAGCGTCCTCGAGTTGGCAGTGCCTGAGATGGACGAGGATCAAGATCGGCACCGACGCTTCCGCTGTCAATCCTGCTCATACTCATCGCATCCTCTCCCTCCGACAGCAGGGGTAACAAGAAGTTGCAGGCGCCGCTGACCCCCCCGGACCTCTCTTTCGACCGCGCGCTGGACCTTCGGGGGGCAAAACCAGAATCCATGGCACGCCGCCTGTGGGGAATCCCTCGGCGTGCTGCTGCTGGAGGAACGCCAGGCCTTCGGGCAAAGATGACAGAGCAAAAACACGCGGATGGGCCCGCAGCGGCAGCCTGCTACTGAGATGCGTAGGCCGGGCATGTCCCTCTACAGGCGGATTCTGGACGAAAAGTAAAGGAGACTTAAAAAAGTACGCCCGGAGGATCAAAAATAATCAAAATATCATCCCCTGACTAATTATTTGTTGACTGTTTTTGAACACTCACCCTGTAAAGGGACGTGCCCGACTCAGCAGTGCTACGCCCTTGCTTCCCCTCCCCGGACAAGGACCCCGAGGCGCCCCCGGCCGAGGCGGCGAAGGCCCGCCCGAGGAGGCCTCGCGAGGCGAGGGGGCGGCGCGGGCGCTTTTGTTGACCCGGGCCGCGCGGCCTCCGCGCGCGCCAGCGTCAGCTCGGCGTAGAGCCTGGCCAGCTGCGTGTTGAGCTCGGAGATCTTCTTGTACGCCTCTGGTCGGGGAGGCGTGAGACTCGGTTGCGGGGGACTCGCGGGTTGGCCTGACGGGGCCACCATGAACAGGAAGAGACCCACTCTGAAATGCGACGCGAGCTCCCGCTGCCACCAAGACGGGACCGTCATAATCCGTGGCACGCTCGTCAGAAAACGTCGGCACCTCTCGGGGGGTCCAGAACTAGGAACAACGAAGAATGACAGAAACGTAAAAACTCGGAGGTCCGCGCGGATCTCTCGGATCCGCGCTGACGCTGGAACCTCCTCCCTGGCGAGCGCGCTGGGGGCAGCGCCCGAGGCGCCGCCAGGGGGCCCCAGCGCGGATTCGAGAAATCCGCGCGGACCTCCGAGCTTTTATGTTTATGTCATTCTTCGCACCCCTAAGATTAGGTCGGGCACGTCCTCGTGCAGGCGGATTTTGGGCGAAAAATATGGCATGGTGGAACATACCCCCCAAAAAGAGTCAAACATACGTTGAACGAACAATCAAACAACAACAACAACAACAACAACAACAACAACAACAACAACAACAACAACAACAACAACAACAACAACAACAACAACAACAACAACAATTACTAGCACGTGGGGACACTCCGTTCTCACCAGTGCCAGGGTTTTCATAGGAGGCGGGCAATACCCCCACTTTGTGGGGGGGCCGGTTCAAGCTCTACCAAATTTCCAAACGACTCTTCGCCACCACCCACACCCAGCTTCCCGCCCTATGACGTTCGGACACTTCACTTCGTGGCATGCGGACGACCGTGGCTACTATTCAGGGCCCCGCGGCCGACGACGACGGCGTGCGCGCGCGAAGAAAAAACGAATGTGTCCCGCATGGTATTATTTGACAGGGATGATGGCCCTGGCAGGTGCGCAACCGTTGTCGCAGAAGTTCGAAAAAGTTGCTCGCAAAAGCCCGTTTGACAGAAATGTTTAAAAAGTGTTGGGTTTCCTACGAATCCGCAAGAGCGCGCGGGATGAGATTTTGACAGTTTTTTGTTGAAAAACCATTGGTTTTTTGATGTTTTTATGTTAAAATCGCTGCGAACACTAAGGTTTTGGAAGGATTTCGTCTTGCGCGCGCGAATGTCCACTTTACCTTATTTTTTGCAAGGGATTCTTGAAATTTGATTATATTAGAGCAAGAAATGTCATTTTCTATTGTTTTTTGCAAGGGAAAGCGGATTACAACAAAACAACCGGATCCTGTACACACCCTCTTTTCTGAGGCTTCCTCACGAAAATGATGAAAATGTGGCTGCGGCCTAGGCGGCGCAGGGGGGGCGCGCACCAGGGGGCCCAACAATAATTATTCTTTAGAATAAATAATGTTCAACAACAACAACAGCAGCAGCAGCAGCAGCAGCAACAACACCACCACCACCACCAACAACAACAACAGCAGCAAACATGTCCCCAGCCTATTTTCTACTATTCTTGGGTACTCCTCCTGTCGAGGGACACCCCCGACTTAACCCTGAGAACGGCGCAGGCCGCGCGGCGGCCCTGGGAGATCCCCGAGAAGCCCTCGCCGCGCGGCGGTCCGTCGCCCGCGGCGTCTCGGGCAATCAACCCTGCGGAGGCCCCCCAGCCGCCCGCGGGGCGTCCTAGGGGAACGGCATCCGGGTCCAACACTCGGGGAACGAAGAATGACGTAAGCATAAAGACTCGGAGGTCCGCGCGGATTCCTCGGGTCCGCGCTGGGGCCCCCTCCCTGGCGCGCTCCGCGCGCCAGGGGCGGCGCCCGAGGCGCCGCCAGGGGGCCCCAGCGCCGATCCGAGAAATCTGCGCGAACCTCCAAGTGTTTATGTTTATGTCATTCTTCGTTCACCTAACACCGGGCGGTCCCCCTGGATCCCCGCGGACCCACCACACGGCGGTGGTCACCACACCGTCTGTCGGTGGTTCAACGATGGGGTCCTGAGGGCCGGGGTCCTGAGGGCCGGGGTCCTTAGGACGAGGTGCCTCGAGCAGCGTAATTCCACCTTTGGGCCCCTTCCTACCCTTAGGGCCCCATCCCTCAGGACCCCATCTTTAAACCATCGAGCCTGGGGGCAGGAGGGCCCAGAATCGAATCGCTAAGCCGAGTGTCGGCGAGCGACATGAATCGGATCGGCGGAAAACGGCAGCCCAGTCGGGAGGAGTCGAATCGGCGGAAATCGGCAGAATTGTGATGCCTCATTGAGAAATCGGAACCCAAACGGGAACCCAAAAACGAGTCGAATCGGAATCGGAACCCATCGAAACCGAATCGAATCGACCCGGAGGAATCGAAACGAGCCCTGTCCGGGGCCCCCGAGCCTCGGTCAGCACCGCGTTGTCCTCCGGGGGCTCGGAGGGGAGCTCCACGGTCGGCTTCGCCGACAGCAGGTCCTGCGGGCAAGGAGGCCCACTTAGACACCGCGGCGAGGGGGCAGGCGAGGCACACCGGGACCGGACAGGCCTCCGCGACGGCGGGCGCAGCACGGCTCCGGAAGAGACAGGACCGACTTGATCTGCGAGTGGCTCAGAGTGCGAGGCGGGGATGTATCCATATCCACCGCCTGGGAACCGGCGTCCTGGTGCCCCAGCGGGCGGTGGACATGGATGTATGTCGGCCCCTGGGGGCCGGAATATGTCCATATCCACCGCCTGCCGAGGCTCCGAAAACTGACCCCCCAGGCGGTGGTCTTGTATAAATTCCCGCCTACGACATAAGTTGCTTGTTTAGATGGGCGATTTCGGAAATCCTGAACCCAAAAACGTTTTCCTCTCTTGGGGGCGCGACTTTCTCTTTCCGCCGCCCTCCGCCGAACTTTCGCCGGCTTCCGCCGGCGGAGGCGGCTTCGTTTTACTTCCGCCGACCTTCCGCCGCCCTTCCGCCGCCTTCCGCCACGGAAGAGATGACAACTCCTTCGACCCTCGAAAGCAAGGCCGTTTTTGGAACGCCCCAAATGAGGCCCGCTCTAGGCAACGTGTCTTGGCATCCACGGCCTCATGTCTGGCGCCGATCTCTGCTCCACAAGGCCAGGCCCTGCAGAGGAAGCATGGGCTGGCCAGCATCGAGGTTCGAGGATCGGTGATCGAGGATCGAAGTTCGAGGGTCGATAATCGAGAATGGAGGAGCGAGGATCGAGGATCGCGCGTCGAGGATCGAGGATGGAGGATGGAGGATCGAAGATCGAGGATCGAGGATGATCGAAGGCCCAGGATCCAGGAAGATGGAGGGTCGTAGATCGCGGATTGAGGATCGAGGGTCGAGGATCGAGGTTCGAGGTTCGAGGTTTGAGGATGGCGTGCTGCCTCCCAGGGGTCCTTGGAAGCTGAGAGCTCCTCCTCTAGGCTGGAGACCCTCAGGCGGAGGTCGTTGTTCTCGTCCTCGAGCGCCGTGTCCCTGTTCCAAGGATGCCAAGAGCCAGGGCCGTCCACGGCGACAGCGCAGCCGGCGGCCGGGGACCGACCGAGTCGACGGCGAAACCAGAGCCGACCCAAGCGGATAGGCCGCGCACGAGACGGACTCAGCCGACCGAAGGCGACCGAGGGCGCAACAGGTAACAAGCGAAACAAAACCGAGGGCCGAACCGAGCCCGAACATGCTAGAGACCTACACAAATGTGCCGACCCCTTGGGGTTCATCGGCGTGTGAGATGCTTCTCCCTCCCCAGACCCCTCCCCGGGGACCAGATTCGGTCGATGTGGAGGGGGGGTCTATCCGGGCTCCCAGGGGGGGGCCCTTTGCTCCAGAAATTCTGCCGGGGGGGCATCCAGGGCTTCAGAAAGGGCTACGAGGGCCCCAAAAGTCTTCCACGACGGACCAAGACGGCCCCGAGTCGCCGAAACATCGTCCCAAGACGCCATGGCCTCCAGACGGCCCAAGATGCCTCCAAGACGCCTCAAGAAGCGTCTAAGAAACCTCCGACCAGGGCCCCAAGAGGCCAAAATCGTTGATTTGCATACGTTTGTCAAAAATTTGTGTCGGTCTCGCCTCTTCGTTGTTGGCTTTCTCGCCTTTTCAAGCTTCCGACGCTCCAAGACGGCCCCACGAGGCTCACAAAACCGCGCGAAAACGGCACAACAGGCCCCCGAGAAGGCCCCAAGACGGCCCAAGAGGGCCCGAGCACGAGTCAATGGGGCATCAAGATAGCCCAGGAGGCCTCCAAGAGGGCCCCAAGAGGGGACCAAGAAGGGGACCACGAACAGACAATTCTAGCTCTCCGCCCCAAGAGGCTGCCAGGATGCCCCGAGAGGCCCTCAAGGGTCTCCACGAGGCCCCCACGAGACCCCCAACAGCTCCAAAAGAGGGCCCAAGAGGCGCCTCCAAGACGCTCCGAGGCTTCGACGAGACCTCCCACGAGGGCCCCACGAGGCCAAAATCCTGAATCTTTGGTGTCGGGTTTCTGACGCTCAACGACGGCCACGAAAACCCCCAAGACCGCCTTAAGACGGCCCGTCAGGCCCCCGAGAAGTCCCCACGATACCCCAAGAGGGCCAGAACACGGGTCAAGAGGGCCTCAAGACAGCCCAAGAGGCCTCCAAGAAGGGCCCAAGAGGGGCCAAAGAAGGAAACCACGAACTGAAAATTCTAGCTCTCCACCCCAAGAAGCCCCCGGGATGCCCCGAGAGGTCCTCAAGGGGCTCCGCGAGGCCCCCACGAGACCCCCAACAGCCCCAAAAGAGGGCCCAAGAGGCGCCTCCAAGACGCTCCAAGAGGCTTCGACGAGACCTCCCACGAGGGCCTCAAGAGGCCAAATCCTCGCCTTCTTGGCTTTCTCGGTTCAAGGTTCTTGGCTTTTTCGCCTTTTCAGGCTTCCGACGCTCCACGACTGCCCCAGAGGGCCCGAAAACAACGTTAAGTCGGCCCGTAGGGCCCCCGAGAAGGCCCCAAGACGGTCCAAGAGGGCCCGAACACGGGACAAGAGGGCATCAAGACAGCCCAAGAGGCCTCGAAGAAAGCCCCAAGAAGGGCCCAAGAAGGGGACCACGAACCGACAATTCTAGCTCCCCGCCCCAAGAAGCTCCCAGGATGGCCCAAGAGGTCCTCCAAGAGCTCCACGAGGCCCCCACGAGACCCCCAAGAGCCCCAACAGTTGCCCCAAGAGGTCCCAAAACAGCCTCCCAGAAGCCGCCAAACTGCTTCGGGAAGCCCCCAGCGACGCTTCTCATGAGATCCCACCGCACAGCCACGAGGCTTCTTTTTTTGTAGAAGCGTCCGTCGCGATGGCGCCATGAAGCATTGAAACCTCACCGAGAACACCCTGAACAAGTGGCTGACGTTACCACCTGATGTGCGGCGCGAATATTATGGGCCCATGCCTCATCGCGCAGTGTGCTCCGAATGTGTCATGGTCCTTGTTTACATGCCTATCCCCTATCACCTCAGCGAAGGCACCTCTTCATCTTCTGAATGCGCTGCCCTCGTGTTCAGGCAGCTTCGGGTCCGAATCGCCCCTGCCACGCGTGAACAGCAAGAGCGCGGCCTGCTCCCTGTCGAAGCCAGGGCCAGGGAACAGGTAGAGGGCTGCGAACTCAAGCAGCACGCTCTCGCCGCCCCCGAAGCTCACGGCCCCATGTGCGCCCGGCTTGTGCCCATCGCCCTTTTAAATGCTGGTAGATCGCATTGCCCTTGGCGTAATTCTCGAAGCTGCACTTCTCGAAGTACTGCTTGCTTCCCCTGTTCTCCACGGCTTCTATGGCCCTGAGAATTTCTCTCTGCGATGGATCACTCGCCGCCGCCATTCCTCGTACCCACTCGAGCTGACCTGACAAGAACCGCACTTCGCCCCTGACGTCGAATTTCTTTCCCTTCAGCTTTTCCGAGCAGTCCGTGCCGAACAAGCTATTCATGCCGTGAGCGATCGCGGATTCTGGCAGCCACGAAACCACCACCCTGAGACCTGTCTCCTTGGCCCACTCTGAAGCCTTCCCGAGCTCCTTCGTGCGCTCTTCACTGGTGGGCGAGTCGCCCTTGATGTCCTTCACCCAGACAAGCTCTGGCACTGACAGATGGGATCTCCGGCACTCGTCCGCGAAAGCCTTGACGTAGCGCTGGAAGCCGTCGCCCCAAGGATCGCCGTCGACCACCAAGTAGTCTGGGCCGAAACTTCGGATGGCTTGGACAGCGCGGCGAACTTGACTGGCTTCTTGGTCGGCACTGTGCGCTCCGTTGCCGAAGCCGCCGCCGAAACCTTTGACGTGCAATACTCGCTTGTCGGAGACGAGCTCTCGTAATTCCTTTAGTGTCCCCAGCTCCCGTGGGTTGTCCTGTGACTCCTGTGGGTGTATCCCCTTGCTGCGCCGGAGCCAGCAGAAGCAGGCGGTCCCGACAGCAGTGGTGCCAGCCAGACAGGCTGGCAAGTTATCGCTCAGCAACAATATCAGCGGCGCCATTGAAACACAACGCGGACTTACATACAATGCTTCGTGCCCAAACTGCTGACTTGAACCAACATTGCCGACTTGAGCACAGCCACGAGGCTTCTGAGCCACAGCCCAGGCACGGTGGCGGGATGGGCCGAATGCCACCAAATCCGCCGCCCCCTGCTTGCAGGGGTGCACGGCGTGCTGGACGAGCTGTTAGGTTTTGGTTTTGGTTCTTTTTCCAAAAGAACTCCCCAGTGGGCTCCGGCAGAACCCGCCACCGTGCGCAAAAACGGCCGTTTCGCTCGGGACATCCTCAAACAATCGCGAAGATGGCCCAAGATGGCCTCCAAGTCCGCCCGAGATGGTCCAAGACGGCCTCCAAAACGGCCCAAGAGAGTCCAAGACGGCCCAAGACGGCCCAAGAGGCCCCCCAGAGGCCTCCCAGACGGCCCAAGAGGCCTCCAAGAGGTCCTCCAGGAGAGTCCGAAGAGGCCAAAATCATTGATTTTCCCTTGGTTTTTGAAGGATTTTGGCATTTGCGCCTTTTCGGCTCTCCGACGGCTCAAGACGGCCCAAGAAGCCCCCAAGATCGCCCAAGAGGCCCCCAAGAGAGCCCCCTGATGGCCCAAGTGGCCTCCAAGATGGCCCCTAGAGGGCCCCAAGACGGCCCAAGAGGCCTCCAACACGCCCAAGATGGCCTCCAAGACGCCCAAGATGGCCTCCAAGACGGCCCTGGAGCGCCCCAAGAGGGTCCCCCGTTGGCCCAGAAAGGCCCCCAAAACGGCTCCCGACGGCGTCAGACGTGCCAGGAACCCACCAAGATGGCCGAAGTTGGCTCGAAGCTGGCCCAAAAGGGCCCAAGAGGCCCCCAAGAGGGCCTCCAGGAAGGCCAAAAGATGCCAAAATCACTGATTTTCCCAAGGTTTTTGATGGATTTGGGCATTTCCCTTCTTTCGGCCTTCCGACGGCCCGAGACGGCCCAAGAGCCCCCAAAGATCGCCGAAAGATCGCCCAAGAGGCCTCCAAGACGGCGACGATGACCATCAAGACGCCCACGTGTTCCCCGAAGGCTTTCCAAACCGATTCGGGGAACACATGGTCCGATGGCTTGGCAGGTCTGGCCTCAACGTTCGGCCACATAGGCGCTTCCACAAAGGCAGGGGGCGGCGGTGATTCGCCGTAGGCGTCTTCGATGCAAATACAAGCATGATTCACGCACCGGTTGGGCTGGGATGGTATGAGTTCAAAACTAGGATGGACGATGGGAGATCGGATGCGAATGAAGGAGACCGACTGCGGCGTTGTCGCTGGGACCTGTGTCAGGATCCCTTCTCGATATACACCCCCTGCTGTACCCGACCAACCCTGGGCTATATGGGCATTGTGAGCGGTTTGGGGGAAATCTCGCGCTTTGAACTCCCCGACGCTCGTAGAGGACCCGCAAGGCCCCCACGACGGCCCCACGACGGCAGCTGCGACCTCCACGACGCTCACAGAGGCGCCCAAGACCAAGTCCAAAAGAAAACCAGCCAAAGGACCCGATCGGACACTCCAAGCCCTCGGCCCCAAGAAGACTACAGGAGATCCCACCAGAACCCCACAAGGCGGCTGACACGAGGCCCCCACCGGACGGCATCTAATACACCCCCAAGGGGTCGGCGGCGGTGCGGCGTAAGCCCGAGAATCAAAAATGTCGACACATCCGACGACGTAACTTCTTCGAGGTCGTCGTCGTCATTGTCGTCGTCGTCACCGTCGTCGCCGTTCAGGGTCGGCGGCACTGGCCGCAAGGCCTTCGCAATATCCAGACATGCGAGGACGCAACTTGTTCGATCCGCGGGCCCCAGAGGGCCTGAGTACTTTCCCAGGAACAGTTTTGCATCCGGACCCATCTTTGATGGCCTGGCCCTGCAATGGACCCCAGGATGCCGGACTTGAGAAAACGCTGGAACGGAACAGAAAGACTCTTTCACGAGCGGGAACCTGCTGGACCCCTCCCCGGGGTCCGGCTTTCACCCCGAGCCGTTTCTTAACACCCCCGCGGGCCCGGCAAGGGCCCCCACAGGCCGCAAGCAGCCAAACGCCGAGGCCAGCACTTGAAGGGGGCGAACGCCAGGGGGGACCAGCTCAGGAGGGCGAGGGGAAATCGAGCTCGAGTCGGCGACACGTCGCCGATGGATCGACGATAAGCCCCTGATAGCAGCTCCGTGCGTTTCTGGGCGGGGTCAGATCTGTCCTTCTCGGAAGGCCGTTCCGCCCTCGAATCACTTTATGATGGTTTTCGCGAAAGTGAATGAAGGGCGTGAACTCTGACACTATCGGGAACCTGTCGGCAATCAATGGGCGGTCTGGGGTCGATACAGCACCCCTGAGCTCACCCCCCCGAAAGTTGCCCGAGAGCGCTGGCATGGCCAGGATCGGTTCGTGCGGGCGCTTGGCGCTGTCCCCCCCGCCTGCTGGGCTTCTCCGCCAGGCCCCCCTGCTCCTGCAGTAGCCTCTCTCGGGCCACGGGAAAGGGCAGGAGGAAGAAGAGGAGGAGGAGGAGGAGGAGGAGGAGGAGGAAGGGAGGAGGAAGAGAAGGAGAAGAGGAAGAGAAGGAGGAGGAGGAGGAGGAGCAGGAGGAGGAAGGGAGGAGGAAGAGAAGGAGAAGAGGAAGAGAAGGAGGAGGAGGAGGAGCAGGAGGAGGAGGAGGAGCAGGAGGAGGAGGAGGAGGAGGAGGACGAGAAAGAGAAGGAAGGGAGGGAGGGAGGAGGAGGAAGGGAAATAAAAAGAAGTAGGAAGGAAGAGGGAAGAGGAGAAGGGAAGGAGGAAGGAGGACGGAGGAAGTACGGAGGGTCAGAGCAGGAGAAGGAGGAAGGAAAAGGAAGAGGAAGAGGGAGGGAGGAAGACGCGCCTCGGTCACCTGAGGAGAGGGAGGGAGGAGGATAGGAGGAGGAGAAAGGAGAAAGGAAGGAGGAGGGAGGACGGATCGAGTGCGCCGAAGAGCGGGGCCAGGAAAGGACGGGGGGGGGACGAGCGGCGGCGCATCATAGTCCACGGCGCGTGCGCGGGCGAGGGGGGCCAGGGGATGTGCTGAAAGAAGAGAAGAAAGCCACGAAACACGGGAGGCATCGCGGCCCACCACATGATGTCCACACCCGGTTCATCTTTACACGCCCTCCCCCTTCTCTGTGGTGCCCTCAGAGGAGGAAGGAGGAAGGAGCCAGGGGCCTGGAGAAGAGGGCGAAACGCAAGACGGGCGCGAGGCTCCGGAATTTGAAAACACGCTGGCCCGAAGCGGGCCTCCGGAGCACACGAAGGCCACAAATCCTGCTGGGTGCGCCTCTTCGCCCAAGATGCCCCCCACCTTCCTCGACTCGTGCTCACAGCCCGTGAGGAGGAGGAGGAGGAGGAGGAGGAGGAAGAACGCAACACGCGCAAAAGAAAGGTCTGGTCAACTAAAGTGAGGAGGAAGAGGAGGAGGAGGAGGAGGAGGAGGAAGACATGATTTGGAGGCCACCTGGGCCTCCCTGGAAATTCTGGGGACGACCCAGGCCAGGAACACCCTGTGCCACGAACGTTTGCGGCAGCGCATCACGACAAGGGGCGCAGAACAAGGACGAGGAAGAAGCAAGGACCCCGACGTCTGACGACGCGATTTTTCTCACAACGCGCAGGCCTTCTCCGCATCTTCGATCGACGTTGAGGGCCGAGGCGATGGGCGACCCACTCTATCTGGCGCCCGCTGGCGACGACGACGACGACGACTCGCGCTGCAGGACTCGCCCGCTGGCGAACTTGAGGAACCCAATCTGTCTAGTTGCATTTCTCTTGGCCCGCTTTGCCGCGACCGCCTTCGCCTTCTTCGAACTGACTCCGCGGAGCGAGCCAACCGTCCCAGCTGCGCCACCCCGCGCTGCTGCAATTAATAATTTATTTCTGGCTTTCCTCGCGCGCTTCTCTTCTCGGGCAGGAAGGTTCCGCCGCGCCGCGCAGGCGCGGCCCCGGGCGTCCGCGACGAATGCGCCCAAGCGACTGCCGCTGTCGTTGCCGCGAACGCCAGGCCGGCTGCGCTGCTGGCAGCGGTGACCGCCGCCGCCACCATTCTTTCCACCACCGCGGCCGCCGCCCGCGCAGGCCCCGCCGCCTCGGCCGCGGCCCGCGGGCCCCGACCACCCCGCCGCGCGAAGGACAGTCGCTGCCGGAGAAGGCGGCCCACGCAGATGGAAAGAAGCTTCAGCACATGGACTGCGACGCAGCACGATGCCCCGACGCGTCGGGGGGCCGCCCACCTCGGCTGCTCGCTCGAGCCAAAAAAAAACCGTCGAACAAAGTCTCGAGCACGGAGCGAATGACGCCCAGCTCTCGCCGAGCACCCTGCACCGACTCACCCATTTCATTGCGCGACCGAGCGAGCATCCCCCCCGCGCCTCGAACGCAACACATGCACGCCGAAGTACGTTTCCTGGGAAGGCCGCGCACGCCACGCCCGATGACTCGCGCGGGCCACTCCCGCACCAGTAGATCAGCAAGACTGTCGAGGGCCGCGGCGCGCGCGCGCGCGCGCGCCCCTGCGCGGCGGCATCGAAATTGGCGCCGCGTTCCCAAACCCGCGGGCATAGCAAATTTGGGGCGAGGACAGAGGGCGCGCCCCAGTACCGGGGGAACTTCGCACATCGCAGATTCGGTCTTTCGCCCCGCAGGTGTTCATAATTAGCAGAGCATGCCAAGCATTCAAAACTATCATCTCTGGGATGCAATTCACACGCAGCAGAAATTGCAGGGGCAAGTCGGCACCTTCTCGGGCGACGCCCACATCTCGGGGGACCAATTTCCGAAGGCCCGCACACAAGCAACCGCTGCAAAACTTGCGGAAAGAAAAAACAAACAAAAAACAGCCGCGAGTCGCCCACGCACAGCGCTCCTAGCACCGGCCCATCAGTGGACTGTTGGGGGCGCGCACAGCCAGCTCTCCCAGCTGCGCCTGGGGATCGGCATAGACCATGCGCGCGTGGACTAAGGTCTGCCAGCGTCGCAGGCTCTGATAACGAGCCCCCCATCGGCCACCCCTTCCCACGCCAGAACACCTCCTCCCCAACAAGAAGGGAAGCATCCGCAGAAGCATAGGCAAGCGCACGTCGCACGCGGGCAAATTCGGCGAGGTCATGGCCAGACTTACGCGGAGCTTCGGGCACACGCGTGGAACCTTCAGCCTTCTTGCCAGACTTAACTTCCACGCTCGTCGCACCGGCGGCGGCTGCAACGCGCGCCAAAAGATTTGTCGCTCGGGCGCCTTCTCAGGACGGCAGCGCCCTTCAAGACGCGCGACGCGCCTGCCTTGACAGACGCAACTCGGGACCCACGCCTACCACTTGGAAAACGACGCATGCGACGGGGGAGCGCGCGCAACGTAGCACGTCGAGTCCGAGGGGCCGAGGGGTGTAAACTGGACTCCCAAAATGATCGAACAAGGATCATTTGATTTTCTTGTCGCGTCGCATGACAGCCGCCGATAACACCTCGCTCGTGGGCGCGAGAACTCCTGCACCTGAGTTCCTACTTGACCCGGGCAATGTCACGGCTACGCCTTTCCTCAGGAACTACCTCCTGGTCTTGCAGGCGCCGCGGCTTAGCGGCTTGTATAAGGGGTAGGCTGGGGCATGCGTTCATAGCGCAATGTGCCCCGCGCAAAATAACTCCCGAGACTCCGAGCACATGATAAGACGGGCGCGCCAACGCGACGAGATGGGTCCTTGTCGACCCCAACCCAGACGCGCTGGGTGAGATGGGACAACTACGAATTCTGCATTTGCCCCCAACGGGGGGCGCCCGTCTGCACGCCTTGAGGGTCGATGCGAGTGCGAGAGCTCGAAGCTATTCGCGCTTCGCGCAGCGCGAAGCGCGAAGTCGGGCGCCCTTGTTTGGGCTCAGGAGGGGCTCTGGTTTTCGGGCGGCTCCTCAGGCTTTCGTCGTGGGACCTGTCCGTGGCCGACGCCCGCCGTGGCCGGAGAAGCCCCCTCCGCTGCCTCTTCGGCGCTCTCTCGTGGCAGCACGATGGCTGCAACGCTCTCCCGGGGAGCGAGAAAGTCCAGGAACGCGCCGCGGGAACGAGCGCGGGAAGGGCATGCGTGCACGGACTGACACTCCGCCGAGCGGCACTGCGCGCGTGGCCAGGCCTCTCGCCAGACCGAGACTGCGCCCGCGGGCTCTGGGGCGCCCCAAACACCGCATCCCATAGGGAGGAGGGAGGAGGGAGGAGGGAGGAGGGAGGAGGGAGGAGGGAGGAGGGACATGACATCGCGAGTGAGCTGGGTCGAGAGTTGGGGGTCTGCAAATGTGCTAAGGTAGAAAAAAAAGTGGCCACGGACGATACTTCGTGTTGCCGGGTAAGCATGTCACTGTAGCATGTACTTCTAAGTGCCACGACCCGAATTTTAGCCACGAGTACTCAAAACAGGCACTACGCCCTCGCCAAAGGCATTTCCGGACCAATCGTTCAACTCGGGCAAGCACTCGCGTGTCTGACGTGGAAACTATGTACATGAACAGATGGCGGGGCAGATTTCCTCTGACCGAAAATTTATATATATATATAATATATATATATATATATATATAAAAAAAAAAAAAAAAAAAAAAAAAAAAAAAAAAAAAAAAAAAAAAAAAAAAAAAAAAAAAAAAAAAAAAAAAAAAACGCTCGAAATTAACGCGAGCTGTGTCGCGCTGGAAACGGCAGAAGAAGCCCAAAGGACACCAAACCTTCAGTTTCGTATGAACTGAAGTACCCATTTCTCCACACCTTCGCACACTCCAATCGTTTGCCAAAATCCCCGAAGTATAGACACAGCCATGGCTCAAACTCACGCGCAGACTTGACGCGCGCACACGCGTGGCAGACAAATGAAGCACGCGCACACACCAGAGAAGTAGGTGAGGGGGTGTCGACTGTTCCTTAGCCACATTCGCTGCTCCGCTCGAAGCCGTACCAGCAAGTTAAGCTGATGTTCCTGAGCCGTCGCTGCTCGCTCAAAACATCGGCATCTCCCCCCTCGTCGTCCTTGGCGGGTCGGGGGAAGGAGCTGGGTTGGAGGGCGGAGGACCTCGATGGAAAGCCCTTCATATCGAAGGATAAGAGTGGCACGTCAAAAAGCCAACGGGGCGGCAACAAGAGACCAACTAAAACAACGAGGACTTTGCTTGCATCGTGGCCCGTGGACCGGCGAGCCCGCGCGCAGGAACGTTGCGTAAGAATGCCCCTTGAATCTGGGCACGCCTGCATTCTTGAGCCTTGCCCAGGCGCCACGATCCACAGTCCAAAGACACCGCTGCGCACAGTATGCTAAAATTCGCGTCTTCGCTGGACACCCGCCGCCATGCATGGTCCAGCTGGGCCACAAACTCAGTGCCAGAACGGTTACCAAAATCGCGAAGCGAAAGGGTCGCCTGAAGTTCAGGACTCGTTGCACGCCGTACCATGCGCACACAGTTTGGTGTCTCATGCTGGGCTTGAAAGAACTGGACACGTTGGTGGCACCCCAATACATGGTAGCATGTTCATACATGCATGTGGGCACGGCCATTGGCAAGCCAAGTGCCAAGCAGGTATCGCACATTACGGAGGCATTTCAAGACGGATGGGCTTGGGAATCCGTGGAGGGCAGTCGGCCAAACTTTCGTGCAGGGCACGTTGCCAACGCATCTTGCTGGTAAAAACAATCAATACCACAACACTTACATGCGGCGCGTAAGACCTGGATTCCCCGCAGCCTCTGGAGGCCGCTCTTCCAGTCTGTCGCTTCGGGGGGGGGGTAGAGTGCTCGCGGCAGTACGCAACGTCCATGCTGGGATGAACATGGATGCACAATACACGAAACTGGGTGAAATTGACCACCCCGGCCCACAAGAAGGTTTCTTGGGGTGAGCTGTTGCTCCCACAGCTTTATGGATAAGGGCTAAGCAGAAGAGGACCACGCCCGCCCTAACTCGAGGCGCGCCCGATCGCCTTTCCGCTCGGCACTCCCTCGCGGGGCTCTTAGGGGCTTTCGGCTGGCAACGAGCTTCGCGTGACTACGTGCTTGCATCTCCCCTAGGCCCAAAAAACGATTCAAACGTGTCTATGGTGGTGCTCTGATCTGCTGTCGGTTGATGGGCGACCAAGTCAACATGTCACTTGTTAACTGCCGCTGTCGTCTGAATGGCGGCCAAGGAAACGTGCCACCCCTTATTTCCCGCTGTTGTTTGACAGATGGCCGGGACAGCATGTCACATGTTAGCTTCAGCTGTCGCATGATAGGCGGCCAATGCAGCACTGCGAATGACGCGTGCACGGTTCAAGGCATCTTTTGTGTGATGCTATCTATCAGGGCCTAGGCAACTATACCTATGATCAAATGTGCCGCTAAGCACACGCAAACAGTAACTGACATATACACGATTAGTGTCACCCCGACACGGAACGTCACGCATGCAAACAAAAGAAAAGACACAAGCAGGAGCGATAGCAGGCGGGCGATATCTACCAAGAGGCGAAAGTCGGCGTCAAGGCCAGTCTCAAAAGTGATGGCATGCCCGCCTCGCGCGGAGGAAATGAAGGAGATCAAAGCGAGCGCCAGCGACTCATACGCTGCTGCTGCTGCTGCTGATGCTGCTGCTGCGGGCGCCTGGCAGCTGAGGAGTGGGGTGGGGAAACCGGTCACCAAGGATAGGGAGAGCCACGCACCACGTGGCGCTCAAGCGCTCTGCACTCTGTGATGCCTCAGCGCCGCGCGATAAATGACAGCCCCCCGGGGAGCCGCGAGGTCCCGCAGAGACCCGCGCGACTACACACTCTGCTGGACCTTCCAGGGGCCCACGAAAGTGGCGACGTTTGCGCAGTTTGCAGCGCCCCAGGCAGCCGCGAGGTCCCACAGGGATCTGCGAGACTACCCACTCCGCTGGACCTCCCAGGAGCCCACGG